TACATAATGTGAAAAATTATTTTTTTAAGGATAGAGAACTATTAGCACTAACTCTCAAAGTAGTGGAAATGATTAATGAATTTATCATGTTCCTCAACTGTAGTTATAGAAAGTAGTACTTGAGTTTTGATTCTTCATGCCAAACAGATACATGTGAATTTTTTAATGAAATCTATTGGACTATTTTTAACTAAGTTGGTGTTCACTCATGGTCAAATTTATGTTGCTGTTTCACAAATAAAACAAAGACAATGTTAAAAAGACTAAATCTAGATGATAATGGAAACTCTTACAACCACACCAAAAGTATTGTATACCCTGAAGTCTTTCAAAAAAATATGGATTTAAAAAATGACTTTAAAGTGTTCACTTGTGAATTTATGTATAAGAATTTTTATTACCAAATGTTAAATGTTTTTTTACTTTGATTTTAATATCTATATTCTTTGGTGTTAAAAAACGCATTACATATATTTCCATAAATTCATTTTTAAATGTTACATTGAAAGTAATTTAAAGAATAGGCAAAAAATTTATTCGACCCCGTGCGCGGCCCTCTCTCTCTATTTCTCTCTCTTAAGTCTTAATCTCTTTTAATCTCTACTAAATTCTCTCTTTTATAATTTATTCATTTTATATTTATATATATTATAATATAAATATATAATCATATATTATTAATATATTATATAATTATATATTTATATTATAATATAATTTGAAATTCGAAAATATTATATTATTAATATTATAATTTTAGAATATTATAATATTCTAAATTTCTAATATATTGTCATATTTTTCAATTAATATAAAATATGCTAAAATGTCGAGGGAGTCTGATAAAAGGTCTATAGATATGGGCGTTGTGAACCGAGAACGTTCTAACAAAGGTAAAGTCATCGCCCCTCCGAAGGTTCGAGCTCACGTGCGTCTCAAGGAATACACTCTGTCTCTTCCTTTCATACAACCCCCCATCAATTCATGGAAGACGCCATGACTAATCAAGAATTCTACCAATATTTGGGAGGTAGGAATGACGCCAATTTTCAAACTCTTGAAAATATATTTGATGACGTTGAAGAGGAGGTGGAAACAACACCCGAGAGCAACGATCCTACCGACGAGAAGAGAGGTGAGCCCAAGAATTCTGAAGGTTCGGGGAAAGGTAAAAAACCTAAATCTTATTTATTTGTACACCATTTTAGAAAAGATAGAAAAAATAGCGATTTTTTTTAACTTGTCTTCATTGTGAAGCAATCCTAAAAATAGAAATTTCCAGGGGTTATGGTGGACCTGCCAAACACCTCAGAGTAAGGCACCCCGTGGAGTACGCCAAATACATGATAAAGAAGGGACAAGTGTAGACCCAAATTTCTCGATTTGCAAACAAGGGTAAGGGAGGTCTTTTTGCTTATAGCGATGAGCAAAATAAGTAAAAAATGATTGAAATGATTTGTGAGGAAAATTTAACATACATATTTTTAGAAAAACTTAGATTTATTGATTATTGTCAAACCGCACTAAACCATCAAGCAAGAGATTTTTCAAGAAAAACAATTAATAGAGAAATTATTAGACAATATAAAGTTGAAAAAAATAATTTGGCAAATTTTTTTTCTCACTTTTAATTCTCGTGTTACTATTTATTTTGATATTTTGAGTGAAACATATCATTATTTGTTTTAAATGGGTGTTATATGTCATTGGATATATAGTGATTAGATTATACATAAACGTGTTCTTGCATTTCGTGATTTCAATAAATCTTACACGGGTGATAATATTTTTCTTTTGCTTTAACGTATTCTCCAAGAATACAATTACTTGATTAAGTGTTTGTAAATGATTTTGATAATGATACTAATGATATTACTATCATTTCTAGACTTAGAGAAATTTGCCCCTAGCAGCGCCATGAGTAGATTTCTATACTAAAGGTGTACCTCCAATGTTTTAAATTTGTATATTCAACAGAGATTAGAAGCTATGAGAAGAGTTTTGACCAATATTAAGGGTGAGTTAAGAAAGATTTGAGCTAATCGTATTCATTCAAAGGCATGTAAGTTTTGCTGGTAAATCTAGGAACAGAAAATCAATAACATTTGCTAAAGACATTACGATTAGATAGAATAGTACATATAAATTGATTGCACAGATTCTGGACTACAAAGAGGAAGTCGCTTCATTTCTTAGGTTTGAACTTCATTATATGATTAATTTGAGTGAATTCGTTATTATTGAAAAATTGAATGTCGTGTTAGAAGTTTTTAATAATGCAACTCTTATTTTTTTGCATGTTTACAAACCTACGACGAACAAATTTTTTTCAAAGTGTATTACAATTGCGACATGTTTTAGTGAAAGTTTATTTGATCCAGAGTTGTAACCCTATGTCATTTTTAGGAAGGATAAATGGTGTGTTTATTGTTTGTCTATTCATATATTCCTGATATTTATAAGATTGATATTATTTGTGATCTTCGTTTTAAGATTGATAATTTAAAAATTTTGATGGAGTATTACTGAAGTTGTTTTTAAATGAAATACTTATTTTTATGATCATTTAATAAAATAGACAAAAGGGAGAGATAATGTTATTAATATTTTTGAGTCATTATTTAAAGAATTTCAAACAATTTACAGTAATGCACCGGGATAAACAACAACATCTCCTTCGCCTCCCAAGGCAAAAAAAGGTTTTAAAGGGATAGTCAGTGGTCTTTTAACAAAAAAAGATAAGTGTAGTTCTGCCTTGAAGAGTTCAGGTGGTACAACTGTAAGTCCGCACAACGAACTTGCTATGTACAAAAGGGTGCCAAACAATTACGACGAAGACAACGAAAGGGCCTTCAACGTCATCGAATGGTGGAAGCGGAATGAACACATGTTCCCGTCTCTCGGAATGCTAGCCAAACAAGTCTTATCCATGCCGGTTTCAACTGTAGTTGTGGAGCAAGAATTTAATTCTAGCGGCAATATTATAACCGACTACCAAAGTTGTCTTAGTGCTAAATCGCTTGAGCCACTTGTTTGTAACCAAGATTGGCTCTTGGCAAGACGTCGAGCTCAAGAGTTAGGATACAACATTGATATATAAGTTCTTTCGAGGATTCTTTACGGTTTTTTGCCTCGTCATTTTTTTAACCATCAGGATATTAAATGTAGTTGTTTTTGTACTATCTATTTTTCATTATTTAAATAACAACTACGTAGTATATTTTTAGATATATATATATATATATATATATATATATATATATATATATATATATATATATATATATATATATATATATATATCTGCAAAATCGAGTTTTTCTATTGTAGTGTTAACATGTGGCATGCCACATGTGCATCCATCCACATTTGCACTTATTAATGAGGTGGAGACATCTCATTGGTCCATATAGTTTTTAATACATTTTATTGTATTATATTAAATGAATATTTTTTTTTAGTATTTAAAAATTATTACTTTAGTTATATTTTGTTTGAAACTTTTTCATTTTTTTAACAATTCTATAAACATAATTTCACTATTGTAAAATATACTTTGTATTTCAAATATGCATATTGATTGTAATATTTAAAAGAGAGTATGTATAAGACTCTTTATTGTTAATTTAAAAAAAATCGCTTTCAAAAACATTAAAAACATTCCGCTTTCAAAAATATTAATTTTTTTGGCATTTTTATGTTTTAATTAGTGTGATAATCTTTGGCATTGTTTTATTTTTATTTATTATGGAGTATTTATTAAAACACACTTTGATCTGGAAAAAATATTATTATTTTATTCAATGAACAATAATTTTGTATTAAACTTTTTACGGCACACATGCATGCCATGCCATGTGTGCATAATAAATCTTTTATGAAATAACCATTTTTATAATAAATTTATATAAAATCCTTTACTTTCTCATTAAATTACTATTATTTTTTTGATTTTTCTCAAATTGTTATACAACCTTTCACTTTTTAACAATAAATAACCATTAATAGGATTTAATTATTTAATTAGTCCATTTTTTTGTTTTAAGTTTTTATTAATAAAATAACTTTCATTAGTATTTCATTCAATGATAATTAATTTTGTATAAAATCTTTTGTTTTTAAATAAACATATCAATATATATTCGACCAGTTTAAGACATTATATATTTACATAATTATATTATATCTAAAAAATATTTTTTAAAGCTTTATCAATGTTTGAAAAATAAAGTTTATATGATTTTTTAAAAACAATTGATCATTTATCTTTTAGTCATGTACATCAATATTTGAACTATAATTTTTATTTAAAAATGATATATCTCAGAGTTAAAAAATATTCATACAATACATATTATCGCACTATTAGAAAACTAAAATAAATAAAATCATATTTATAAAATATCAAAAATTTAGAATATACACGAGCTCGTGCGAAGCACGGGGTTAACACTAGTTCTAATTCATAAAAATTAGAAAGTTATACTTTTCTTTTTCTTTTTCGCTTACATATTTATAAATTATCACAAAAAATATAAAAAAATGGAGGCGAAACAAACTGACCCGGTATAGTGCCGGAACGGCCGGTGCGGGTACCAGCGCCATCACCCTGAGCACCGGGACCGGTAACGGTGCCATGGGGTGGCGGTACCAGAATCGGACCAGAACCGTACCGTGACCACCCTTATTTGCAATAGAGTCAATAACATTCAAAAAAAATTATTTTAAAAAAGATATTGTAAAATTTTATACATTGTTCAAAATGAGAAGAGTATCTATACCATACATCTGGGTGTACAATATTTCCCGTATATCCGCATGAATACTTATTGTCGAGTAGCTAAGTACTAATTTTGAGCATAACTGAATTTTTGAGAAATGAGCATTTAGTTATTCGAGAATGAATATCCACTTGCTCGAAAATGAACATTTAATTACTTATAAATGAGCACTCGCCATGGACATATAGAAAATACCGTACAACCGATTGTAGAGTATCCATTGCGAAATGGGAACAATAATTTGGGGAGGGTGAGTACAATTTGCATATGTCAATTTATCACACTACTCAAGAATAACACCAAGTAATAAGAAAAACAGCACTTTCACGGTTGGGCGTTGGGAGGGAAAGCATTTTCCACAAGCCTGCTGTTGAAATTCAAAAAATTCAAAAATCATCACTCTCAGATTTTTTCCTCTTTTAAAAACCCTAACCTTTTCTTCCCTCCCCCCTCTCCTACCTTTCTCACATAGCTCGCTGTTCTGGCTGTCAGGCACGGACTCTGATGCCCACAGAGCTGAGGATTTTCACGCCACAGAGCTCGGGAACGGCATTCTGAACTTCGCGTGAGTTCAAATTCGTTCATTTATGCGTTTATGATTGTACCGGTTTGTAGTTGTTTTGGATGCTTTGCTAATCTTTTCGCAAATCTGCATTGAGTTCATCTTAGGGTTTTGAATCTAGTCAACGAGTGAGAATTTCCATTTGAGCTTTAGCATTTAGCTGCTTTGTGTCATCTGATGGATTTTGATTGCTTGGCTAGCTGTGATATTCAGTTAATTTGAGAATCTTTTCGTGCTTGAGCTGTTGAAGGATTCAGAGATACCGAGCTTTTTCAGTGGACATTTTTCCTCTTTTGTAATCTTAGATTTTTTTCCTTATTTTAAAACCTTTTCTGAATTTTGGGAAAAATTGACCTTTTTTCATGGGAAATTGCAAGTACTGTTCTGTTTCTTTAAAGATTTTGTGTACATGGGTTCATGGGCTTCTTAAGCGGGAATGGGGATGAAATGGCAAGTGAGATCTTACATTGTTTAATTGTGTAATGTAACGTGCCCTGAAATTTGGAAATCTTTGAACTCAAGGAATTTGATAAGTACTGTTCTTGAAGTCTATTGTGTATGCAATTAAGCATGTGTGAGATCAGTTGCAATTGGATGTCTGTTAGTCACGACAGTAGAATTACTTTTTAGTTTATATTAGTTGCATTCCTCAAATAGCTATCTCAGTTTCTGCTATATATACAATTAACATGTCTATCTTCTAGGAAGTCTCACATTCCCATAGCTATGAAATATGCAAAACAGTGAAATTGTTCTAATATGTCATCATTTATTAACTGATAATTTAATGAACTTTGTTGAGTCTACTATATTATACTATAACTGAGTCTACTCCTTCAGTGCTACTTACCTGAAAATGCGACTTATGTTTGGATTTAGTTTCTAGTGAACAAATATGTTTGGTGGAATATGTTTTATTTAAATTTGAGTATTAAAGATCATATTTGTTTTTCTTTTTAGTTTGCTAAAGCTTGGACAGTCTAACTGGATATTTGGTTATGCATATAACCACCACAACTCTTTTAGTGCATTTTACTTGAGTAGTCCAGCAAAACATAATTTACAACAAACTAACATGTCTCTGTGCTACATTCACAGGGAACATCTGAAAATATATTGTAACTTGTCTTGGAGCTTAAACAAGAAATTCTTGTATCAGCATTCTCTTGCACACGGTAGATATTCAAATGAGGAAAAGGGTTGATGGGAAAAATTCTCGAGATCTTGCGAGTCCAAGGATTTCAAGACACCAGAAGAAATTGTCTGAGAACATCCAAAACCAGGCAAAAAAAGTGTCAGATTTAATCACTTCTTCAGCTAGGAAGCAGAAACCGGGTAACTTGAATTTGGGTAGTTGACCCCTCTTATAATTTTATGTGTGTATTTACATTACTGGTCATATTTACAATTGTACGTGAACTTTGATTCATAAATTTGTTATTTGCTACTGTTTCTTTATGATATATCTATAACTGAAAATTCATAAATGCTATTGGAGTGCAACAAGTAATTTAAAGCCTTTGTATAGCAGATTAGCAGGGCACAAAGTTTGGTGCAATATGTTTATATTTGTATTTGCTTGGTTCATTTCGTGCTTTCTCTGGTTGTTTGCTTAAAATCTTAGGGTGTGATGTGATTTTTGGTGTATGCATCTCATTAATTGGGAAGTCAACAAATAACACAGTTATATTTGTTTTATGGTGCTCTTTTTGTAGCTATTCGCATTAAATTTGATAGATTTCCTGGAATTTGAACATTAAACCATGCTATTTTCTGTCATCTCATATTTTAATGTGGATGGGGATAAACTTGTGACAGCTGCAGTGCTGCACATTATTATAATTTGGAAATCTGATGCGCTCTATGGTTTTCAACCATCCTTGTAATTATATTAAGATGTTGTTCATTTTAAGGATGAGGTGGATTTGTAAGCATTATGTAATAAATTAATTAGCAAATGAGTGAATGACCATTGGATCTTTGGCTCAAAAAGGTATACCAATATATTATCATCCTAGGGCATCTTGTTCATCCTTTCACCCTTTGTATGTTCCTCATCAATGCTTAAATCTCTCTTTGGAATGGTTTTGCATGAACTATTTTTACTGACCAAAAGGCTTACAGTTGATTGAATCGACTCTTCTTCCTCTTGATACTAACAGGCACTACTCTTCCAAAAAAAGTGGAGAAGCTTGTTACTAGTACAGATTTGGATTCAAGGTTTGAGTTTCATGATAAAGACGCCACCAACACTGGTTGGAGTCAAGATGCTCATTGTGAAACCAATTATTCTTCTGTTGAAAATAAGGTTGTTTTATGATTCCTTTATTTCTTTTGTTCTTTTCATAATACCATATACTTGTGTGTCTTAGCTTCGGGCTTGGGGTCAGCGGCATTAATTATATAGTTCCAATTAATTGTATAAAATCAATCAACATTATAAAATTAATCTTTTGCATATTCTTGCAATAACAGTTTTCCTGCTTTTCTCAATGTTTGTTTTGAAACAGGAGTATTATGTTTTTCCTAGAAAAACAGAATATTGCTGGGCATTTGTACTTTTTATTGAGAATTAACTACTTTTTTGCTATTCTGTAGCATTATGAAGATGAAACTGCTAATAATCAAACTGAGGCTATTTTTTCTCCCACCTTTCGCACCAAAAGTATTGCAGAAGTTTCAAGTAAAGGTATATACTACGTTATATGCTGTTTTGTAATGACATGAACTATCTTGTAGGTGTTGTGGGCATATATCTCCCTAATTTTGCTGAATAATTTGATCATCTTTTTTCTCCAGTGGAGTTAGTTATGCCCTTTCGACATGGAAACGTCACACATGATGACCGTGATAAAGAGAACATAGGGACTGACATGCTGAATGGTCACGCGCATGAGATTTCATTAAGTAAAGTCTTGATCACATGCCCTTTTGATATTAATTACTTTGAAGTTTTCGTCCCTCCCAATGTTAATTCCTTGGTTTCTGCTCTTTTGCAGATTTAGGAAGTTCCATACCCGAAGTTTTGTCCACATGTCAGGCTTTAGGAAATTCAAGATTAGAATGCGTTGACGAGTTAAATCAAGGGCAAGTGCAAGCTGACAGTAGCATGGAGAAAACTGAAAGTGAAGAGTTTGATGATTTCAATCCATATTTTTTCATCAAAAATTTGCCAGATCTATCCGCTGTCGTTCCAACATTCAGGCCAATGATCTTGCCTAAACAGACTAGGAGTTGCCCTTCCCTCAGTCTTGCTTTGGACTTGGATGGTATGCTTCTAGAATCTGTTCGTACATACTATTTTGTCATCTTTTACCCATTTTGCTCGTCCTACTATTTTTTTGGCTTATACCATATTTGGTCATATTTGTGTGGTACACATTCATTCTTACTTAATTTACTTTTTGACATCAATACCAACCACACAATTTTGTTTTTCTTAATTTCCGTGCTACTCCCTCATGTCCCAAAAATAGTGGGACGGAGGAAGCATACCATATATAATGTGTTTCATGATAATTAATCAATGCTCACAATTTGAGTTTTTTTTATTAACTGACAGAGACCTTGGTGCACTCTACGGTGGAACCATGTATAGATGCCGATTTCACATTTTCAGTAAATTTCAACACAATGGACCACACGGTGTATGTACGGTGTCGTCCTCATCTCAGATACTTCTTGGAGAGGGTGTCACACCTCTTTGAGATAATCATATTTACAGCCAGCCAAAGCATTTACGCAGAGCGGGTTTTGAATGTGCTAGATCCCAAAAGAAAAATATTTCGCCACCGTGTATTTCGCGAGTCTTGTGTGTTTGTTGATGGAAATTACCTTAAGGACCTTTCGATTCTTGGTCGCGATTTAGCACGTGTCATTATTATCGACAACTCTCCCCAGGTATTCTCACTATACTCAATCCTTCATTCTTCATTTTCTTGCACATTTTGTACTCTGTATGTTTGTAGTTCATCCCTTGCTTATACAAGAACAACACAGTATAATCGCAACTCTGTTGGGATCTAGGAGTCTCACGATGTATGAATCTTACCCTTACAGAAATAGAAACTTTTTTCGTTAGACCGAGATTCATTTATTGCCCAGAATTTCATAGAGAGTAAGAAGCAAAGGAAGTTTAATGTGCCTTTTTTTATTCAGTCCATTATGTTCCCGAACAGAAGTTCATCCCTTGATCATCCAGTGTACAATTATAGTGAAAATGAAAAAAAAGAAGCAAACTACTGTTATTTTCTTTCCTTCCAAATCCTCTCTAAATTTATTTCATCGTGTTTTCTATCCCGATTCGCAGGCGTTTGGATTTCAAGTGGACAACGGAATACCCATCGAGAGCTGGTTTGACGATCCTTGTGACCAAGAATTGCTCGCATTGCTCCCGTTTTTGGAGAGTTTAGTGGGAGTGGAAGATGTCAGGCCACTGATTGCAAAGAAGTTCAACCTCAAAGGGAAAATAGATTCTGCTATTTGTCCCTTCACCTCTTCTGACTATGGAATTCCCTTTGGGAGATGTTAAAACTTTTGTCCCCTTATAACTTTGTGTACTATTATTAGTAGTATTCTTATTAGTGCCCTTTTTTCTGGTTATGTCTTGTTTGTTGATGATAATATATCATACACACCTGCTATATGCTTTGGTTCTTGTAATAAAAGGAAATCTTTATATTTTATAAGAACTCTTTAGTTCTTGTCTCATTTTGACTTGATTTTTTTATTATATAAAATGTGAGATGAATAAATATTTTTTCTCATTGTGACTTGACGTATTTTGTATTTCTTAATATATGATGAATAGTACCCATTTTTTATACTGGAAGACAAGCTAGAATTTTTCGAACAGGTAACACATTGATGGAATAAACTCATTTTTATTTACATTCAGAGCTATGTTATCTTTCTATATATAATGCTTGGATCCTCTTTGGAATAGTGTTCCCGCCAAAACTAAGCTTCCTTCATTGGGCCGAAATTCCGACTGGGCTATACCGGGCTGGGCAATGGGCTGTGTCAAATCACATTGGGCATATCAAAAAAGTAAAATCAGCTGTGTCAAATTAGATGAGTTGTCATGTCATTCTTTATTAAAGTGGTGCGCCTATCTATAAAGTAAAAAAAAGGGGTTGTGTGGCTCCATAAACCAAATCTATTACAATCTAATCCATTATTACACTTACACACCATCTAATAATCTATTACAATCCACTTGCACCATTACACATACACTCCGTATATATATATATATATATATTGACCATCAAGCTTTGCATAATGTACACATGAGTGCTAGCAAGTAAACAAAAAAAAATTACAGTCCAGAATATTAGGAGTGCGAACCATGTTTGCTCCAGTTGCGTCTCTAAACAACACTAAAAAAACTTGGATTCTCATGTTAAGGGCTGTGCGCGTTTACTTTGTTCCGAAGTGGGCTAAAGGCGGGGATTCCATGGAGATCATATTTCACGATGAACATGTATGGTATTCTCCAAATTTTGTATTGCATTTTTTGAATTATTATTATTAAATTTAATCTCAATATCTCACTTGCTTTTTTTTAAATAGGGAACGAGGATTCACGCTCATCTCAACCGACCCGAAAAAAATAAATTTGCAAATCAAATCACCGAGGGGGGTGTTTTTGCCATTCGAAATGTTTTTGTTCATGATAACTACCAAAGTTTGAAAACCACTTCAAATGATAAGCTTTTAGGGTTTTTCGAAGACACTGAAGTGAAAACTTTGTGTCGGCTGGATTTTCCAACTTTCATGCTTGACCTCAAGTCATTTCCAGATGTTCAAAGCCAACCATGTTTGAATGATCAGCTCTTAATTGGTATTACTTTTTTAAAAAAAATTTACCACAAGCCATTGTTTACCCTCTTTGAAAATCGTGAAATATTAACGCAGATGTGATTGGAAAGATAGTGGCTCGAACAAGTGTTCAAACAAACTCAAGGAGAGGCTCTGAACAGAAATTGATGGAAGTTACCCTAGAAGATCATGAGTATGACTTGATAATTACAAAAAATGAACATGATATAAATAAATGGCACATTTGGATTACCTCTATTACGCAATCTTACAGGGGAAATCGTTTGGGTTGCACTCTATGGGGAGAATACGTAGACCGATTCATGGATTGTTTGACCCAAAACAACCAAGAACCAGTTATCATGGTTTTGAGCTTTTGCCGCCCGAGGCGCTATATGGGTAAGCAATATACATTTTGTATTCATATCGAAAATTGAAGATGATTGAAATCTAATTTTTTCCCCATGTTTTGCAGGGACAGTTACTGTCTCTACTGCATTTCACGTTACCAAGATGATTTTCGATGGTAATTCTCCCGAGGTTGAAGATTTTAGGGCAAGGTATATTATTTCTATCTAAATATCGAATAATACATGTCTATAAGAAAAATTTACTTATGTAACGTATTGTAACTTTCACGCAGGTTGCCTCCACAAGTGGATGACGGAATGGGAAGCATTGTTTTGAGCAGTGGAGATTCTGGGGACCAAGGTGTCATCAAAACAACCACTATCAAAGATCTTTTGGAAAACATGAAGGTAAATACGATGCTTTTAATATTATAATACCCATATTAATGATACCGTGTTTTATTTAATAAAAATTATAATATTTTTTTTGACAGCCTGGGCCTTATTGGATTCTCGGAGAAATTGCATCACTAAATGATTCAAGTAATTGGTGTTACTTGGGTTGTACTGAGTGTAACAAGAAGGTCATTCCGGATGGTGATAAGTTCAAGTGTTCGGGTTGTGCAGTTACTATACCGCATGGGGTTTATAGGTAAACAATCAT